ACGGTAGATCGTTTGGGACTGTGAAAGAGCTATTGGAGTTTGTGATTCCCTTGGACAACCGCCTGTGGAGGAGACAAGTGGAGAAGGAGGCAGAGAGGAAAAGGGAAGGAGGGATAAGGACAACGACAGTGGTGGAAAGTCAGAGGACGGAGAAGAAAGAAGAGAAGAAATGGGAAAAGGGGCAACCTTCGGCGCAGGGTGGTGTCCAGGCGGCTATGATGTCGACGGTGGTAAAGAGTACACCGCCAAACATCGACGAAGTTCGCCGAAGATGGCCTAGGCCGAGCTCCGATCTGAGGGAGACAAGGAGGAAAGAGGGGAAGTGTACCGAGTGTGGTGAAGCAGGACATTGGCTGAAGGAATGCCCTGTAAGGGAGGCTAAGGTTAAGGTTGGACTGTTGCCTCCATGGGGGGGGAAGTTCGGAGAACGTGGTGGAGGATCGGGAGGGAACGCAGTACCTCTCGGACAGAGGAGGAACTTGAATGCGGTTGGAGGAGAAGTAGATTTGGAAGAGGACCAGGGAAAAGAAGAGGACCTGTCGCAGTAGGCGAGGCTCGGCGGGTCCGCCATATTCTCTCGGCCACCATTCCCAAACCCATAAAAGAAACACAGCTGATGGAGCCAGAGGATTGTGAGTACAAAAATACACCACTCAGTACCCCTTGTTCATGCAATGTCGATAATCATCTCCTCATCCCTTCCGTTTCCAGAGATCAACCTAAATCGGACATTTTCATTAATGGAATAAAGCTAACTACGCTCTGGGACACTGGAGCTACTTGTTCATATATAAGCCCTAGGGCGGCAGCGAAGATAGGTGTAGAAAAGAGGCGATATCAGGTGAGCGTACCCGTTCACATGTTCGACGGCTCGGTGAGTGTCGCTGGACCCATCACCGAGTTTGTCGAAGTCGGATTTAGTTTGACGAAGGACGCCGAAGTGCGATCTGTTTGTCTCGATGTAACAACGCTCTGCGACGCAGATGTTGTGATAGGGTGGGATTGGATGAGGAAGGAAGGGGTTGTCCTTGATGGAAGAGACAACTCGGTGAAATTTCCCATCCCAACCCCACCAAGTGCGGCGAAGTTAGCGGCCATAGGGCTGCCGACTCCGACGGACGCGATAGACCTCCGCGGCGAAGATGAGCTTGAAGAGCTGAGCCCGGAGGAACAAGACGAGTTGTTCCAGGTAGTTCCTGAACAATACCACCAGTACATTGACGTTTTTAATCCGAAGAAGGGAGGAGAGACCCTTCCCCCTTCAAGGTCCTACGATTTGAAGTTTGAGCTTAAGGAGGGGGCGAACCTTAAGGTCGCCTCCCTCTATGCTCAAGGAGAAGATCAGAGACGCGCGCTGAGAGACATACTAGATCGCGAAATCGCCGCTGGCCGAATTCGGGCAAGTAACTCGCCATACGGCTCACCAATGTTTATGATACCGAAGAAAGCCGAAGGACAATGGCGAATGGTCATCGACTATCGAAACTGAACGAAGCGACATACCAGATGCCTACCC